CAAGATGAGTCTCAAATCTCAAACCTCTCAGCCGACCCAGTCAAAGAATGAGGCCAACAAGAGAATCAGCATTCGTTGGTGCGATTCTCGACCTCGCAACCTTGTGTGTCTCGGTTGTCTCCTGTCACGACTCCGCAGCGCGTTAAGCGCGAGAAAAGAGCCTTGTCGCAGATGAGTCAAATTTCCGCATCGCATCGTGACTTCTTCAGCGCTCGTCAGCGCGAGACGTGATCCTCAATAGATAAGACGCATAGTATCCGTAATCGCTGGGGCTCTCTGGACTCTCTTCGGCTTGGTTGTTGTTCCTCCACCCTGTGCATATGTTCACCGAGCACTAGGCTTGACACAGGGTAGGCGCTTCTGCGGTTCGGCAGCCCTCGGTAGTCACTGGCCGAGGACAACAGGCTCCGCTGGCCCTCGGCTCGCCTCTCGGTCTGCGAAAACGCAATGGCGTATGAAATTCCGCAATCCCTTGGCTGTTGCGTAGTGAAGCCGCGCTCACCGAGTCACCAGCTATCGCCGCCGAGCTTCGGACCTTCGTCGGAATCAGAACATTTGACTCTTTCCTTCTCAGGAGCAAGATTCAGAAAGACTCTAGTCCCGCCTATGTTGTACCGTTGTTCCAGGAGCCGCTATGTAGCACTGGTTATGTTCCCAGCCTCGGGTTTCCGTTTTTGTCTTCGACGGATAAGCGGGAATGCATCCTCTCTAGCGACAGGAGAGGCGTCGCTCCTCCAGGATCCAGCATCGGAGAAGGGTGTCCTCGTTGCGGTAATTGCAAGACCAAGGACCCCTCATTTAGCCAGAAAAGAGCCTCCCCCATAATCCAAATGGGACAGAACGTGGGGGCGTCGTGTCACCACAACCATCCGAAGCTCTGGTCCTAGGATATCGCCATCAAGCCACCAGGTCTCCCATTGGCGTCGCAAGACCTGTGATCTTCGAGCGGCGCCACATCCTCTATTGCCTCCCTGCGCAGTAGCGCCAGGTCCGTAATTGCATGCGATAACCCCAGGTGCCACGGGCGCCCAGCTGGCCAGATTGTCGGCCGGGCGTTGAACTGCCTTTCCAGTTCAAACTTCCTTCTATCCAGGTGCCTACTCCGTACGGTCCCTCGGGCTGCGAGGTGCGCTAAGCTCGATTCAGGAATTCCGGGGGAGACCCTTTTGACCATGTTCCCAAGATTTGGGGTACCCAGTGCTGTGAGATCTCTCATCCCCAGATTCTTTCTCCTCACCGGTGGATTGCTTGATTTTCGTCGGACGAGAGGCTCCGAGCCCGTGAGCCATGGCGTAAAGCATGCTCCGGTACGCCAAACATAGCATTGCTATCGCGATGTACCCGTGTGTAAACCGAGTCAGGCTGTTGATACTCGGGGCGCCTAGGCACTCTGTGATGGCATGGGTCGACAGAATGAGGTGATTCGTTTGATGGAAACAAATGTGTTTGGCAAGGGAAAACTGCCATGGAGTCGACACCTCCACTATTGGATTTGTCAAACAGTTCCAACGCCCCATTACTCTAGAAGTCCAGAGTCCAGAGTCCAGAGTCCAGAAATCTGTCGAATTTCTTCTCCCGCTACACACACCTCTATCCCGCCCCCGGACTTCTCCACGTCTAGATCTGGCTGGCCGGTACGTCTGATTGCTGCGCTACTCGTATTTCCAGGGATGGCAAGATATCTAGGTATTCGCAGACATGTCCACGGGCGCCAAACCAAGCCCTCTCTGGCTGATTGGTTAGTCGTGCAGAATCCTGAATGTCGTGTATTGTTCCGTTCATTTTGACGAGCATTGATAGCGGACTAGCGAATGGAAGTTGTCCAATCTACAAGCCAGGGTGCTCTGTCGAGTCGTGACTTTCTCAGGGGTATCAAAAAACGGGAAGGCGCCAATCTCGAGTCGGGTATCAGCTAGCTGGACGTCGACTCTGCCTGCGGCTCTTTGCTTCGTCCCCATCCCCAGCATACCCAGCAAAGAGATAAAGCTTATGCAGTGGACAGATAGCTTTCACGGCTATCCTTGTTGATGTCGAGACCACAATTAAATTGATATGGTTTGCTCGTGAGTTCTCTCTGAACATGTCGCCGAGGCTCGCCCGCAACTTAACATGGACTCCCGTCTTTGTCCTAGAAAAAGCTTTCATATCTCGACCACCATTGGAAAATGACCACTCCAACTTGCACATGTATCTGCATAGCTTGCGTCGCCCTCCGGCTGGATTGGGACGCAATTGTGACATGCGAAGAATCATACGCTCATCGCATGATTGTGGAGGCTTCCACCAAATATGTTCGAAATTTCCGATGGATCTCGCGGGGCTGCAACGACGAACTTGCATACCACGCATGTACCGCATGCGCGGAGGTTGCGAGACCTCTACATTTTTAACAGCGGCAACAATAGCAATAACGCATAGTCCTGGAGCTTGAGTTGCATCTTGCTTTGTATCGTGCTGTTGTATGAGACAGGCCCGTTGTTGTTCGCGCGGGGAGAACCCCGCTGGCTGGTTCGCTGTTTCCACCGCGGGCGGACGCCCTCACTTGGGCGTTTCTGTTGTTGCTTTACAAACCTCCGTGTCTCGCTTGGACCGGGTTCATGACGGCTGAAAGATAAGACCTGCGAGTCCAGAGTCCGGGGCTATGAACTCAAAGAGTGCACTGGTTAAAACTCTGGACAAGCGTCGGAATGACTGGCTCTTGTAAGACTTCGCAATGCCGCCAGCGGGCGCATTATCGCTCAATTTTCTCGGGGGAACTGTGGGCTTCCGCAGTTGTCCTCAGAATCGATTGCGAGACTCGCCCAGCATGAGTCAGTTGTTGCTTCCTGCGTTCGACGGTCGAGCGGAAATGAACCGAGCTCTTCAGAGACAGATTGGATCTGCTCATGCTTCCCCAGACTCCCCTTCACTTTGAACATCCCCGCAAAGTACTTGGAGAGGCCAAGGCGGTAGCTCTCGAAGCTAGAATCCAAGGGCCAAGGGTCGTACCGGTATCATGTGCTTTCTGCCTTGGGTGAAGATTGACCCGAGTTTCTTTGCCGGGACACGCCCGTGTTTGAAACCAGCTTCCTGAAAAGGGCAATATCTGAAGGCGTGGGAATGAGCCGGGGATGGCGCTTCACTAGGGGGTTGATATACAGGGTATGTAGATAAGTGTGGGGAGAGAAGGGAGCACGCCCAGAGGTGTGAAAGTTGAACGTGGTGTGTTGATTTGGTTCCGAGTCCCAGTTTTCTGAGGGAGGTCGAAATCCCGAGATTCCCCGAAAGCACAAGCAAACAATTAAGCCAACTGCTCATCCCATGAAGCAGAGGTTTGGTTTGGTAATAGCTGGCGGCATGTGAGTGGCGCTTATGAAATCTCTGTTGTATCCTAGATGCCTTAGGTGAGATGCAAACAGACGAATTGACGGCACTGAGAGTCGTCCCTCAACGGAACATCGCCCAGGAGATTTTGAACCCTGGATTGCCCCTCGTTCCTATCACATGTGAAAGATAAGCAGATAGAGAGGGGGGTACCCCAGAAGCAATCTGTCCCCTTTCGCGAGAGAACAAACCTTAGCATGATGTCAGCGGTAAAGCTTGGAACCGCATTCAGCAAGTTGGAGAAACGGTAACACTCTTCCACATGTAAATTCTGGAGAAGCGCGTACCTTGCATCGCACATGCAGAGGTGGGAGGGTCTGGCCAGAATTGCCGTTCGAAAACGAGAGTTTGTTGATGGCTGTTAGCCGCACCTGTAAGCGGGCGACTCCAGGCAATCTGAAGCGCCGTAGATTTGTAGCCCGAGCCCCAATATCGTCTCTCCACAAAATCTGTGGAATGAAAACCGCGGATGAGAGAAACTCCGCCTACCCTCCACGATCGACCCCAGGTCTCTTCACCTCGTGACGAGTGACCCCAGCAGCCACCAAGGGTCCTCATCAGCAATTTACCCCAGCCTGCAAGATGAACGACATGTGTGCGGTGTCAATGCCAGCGAAGGAATGAGGATTCGTTGCCTCTGGGTCCTGGAATATAACGTGATCCGTCGACCCGAGCTCGGATATCGGGAAAGAGGAAGAGGTAAAGGTATTGTGGCTTACACTTCCACCTATGGCCCTTAGGCTGTGGGCATTGGCAGCTAAGCCGGTATGCTCTCCTAGTACGGAATACCATCATGCTTGACAGTTGGCAGCACCGTCGCCAGGTAGACCCTTGAAGTCTATTGCATTGAGAAGTGTTGAGGCTCAGGCTTTAGGGCAATATTTAGCCGTGACTGTACGCATACATGTAAGGCACCTCGGGCCCTCGCTGTCGGGTATGTAGGACACATCTCTGATCTCCGCAAGGATCCTGCTGTACATTCGTGAGAAGCCCGGCTTTTCTGTGGTTAGCCGTTCCGATTTCCGACCCGAGCAATGCCTATTCAACCGGTCAGTACGTAGTACGGAGTCAGATTCCGGGTATCCGTACAAATACGAAGACTAGCTTTCCACTTCGCGGCCCGACTTACACGTAGTTGCGTTCACCTGAATACTTGGGGGTGGCCTCAAGTCGGAAATTTCCTCGGCCTGAGCATGTCAAACCCCGCAAACCCCAGGTTGGATCATGCCGTGATAGATGAAGGTTAATCCGAATTATTGAGCATAATTGAACCAAAGCGATTGGGGGCTCTTTCCGGGGCATTTTCCCCGAACGAGTGCTACCATCAGCAGCGTTCTAGTCAACCCTTCTCATATTCAGGCACAGTGCCTGCCGGCAGTAGTAAGTGTCGATACCAGGATCGAATATGGTCCGGTAGGTGAAACCACGAGTGAAGAGAATCGAGCGCTAGGGTTACAGGCAATAACGAGTCTGAGGTAATACCAGACCAGAGAGCCCAAGCTCGCTAGACTTATCGGTCTGGAAAGATGTGAAACCGTAGGGGTCCTAGAACGTTCCGAGTCGCTGTGAAAATAGACTCGCGAAGCCGTCGATGAGGAATCGAGGGAAATGCATACGCAAAACGGCACACTCGAGCAATGAACCCTGGCGGCCACGTTCCACCCGTTTGGCCCGGAAACACTGCCGTCAGTGCTGGCGATTCTTGTCGTCCGAAACTTGGCCAAGGCCCCGGAAAAGTCCTGAACGTTCCGGATGGTCGGTACCAGAAGGCTGCAAAAGCTGAGGCGGCTCGAATTAGACGTCTTGTCTTACTGAGTAGCATCGACGGACTCAGGCGGCAACTAAGGATTCCCAATGGAAGATATCTTGTGCCAATCGTTCCCATGACTGGTACATGTTTCAGAAAGAAAGAGGTGCAGAAACCACGATAATTCTGGAGGTGTCGGTGCTTGATTGAAGCCGCTGGTCTGGCGGTCAAAGTCATGAGGTTGGATGCGACTCGGCACGTCTACTCGACTGTGGTTTGAGGATCGCAGCGCAGCTCCTCATCGGAATGATGAAGGCTGGTCTTTTGTTCTTTGGGATTTAGTTTGGGCTGAAGTTGGGAAAATACCAAAAGATGATGTAAGATATCTTGAAATAACGCAGGTAGACTTCAAGGTAGGCAACCTGTCATCGCACAGCAAGAAGGTGCGCAGATTCCCTCAGCCACATGTCTGCCTGCCACGGGTGTGGCTGATGACCTCATGTCGAACACGTGTGAGGTTCACAGACTCGTACTGTGCGACTTTTTCAACTTCACGCCTTCAATCGGGACATATCAAACCCCGTCAGGCAAGATTTGAGGTCCTAGCAATGGAGAAATACCACTCCATACATCAGGAGGATATCTCTAGCTTCGACCTCCCTTCCACACGCATGTATGACCCCGTCCTCTAAACATCACAGCTCCTAACAGAGTGCAGATCGATTGCCTACAGTGTCCGCCGCTGACGCACTGGAAGAATTAGATGGCGGTGTCGCTAGATATGTCTCTACAGGTATTGGACGACTAGATGGGGCTCTCATATCTTCTTCATCTCTTCAGGCACCAGATCCGACAAGCGGGGGAGGCCTCCAGAGAGGACAGGTTACGGAGATTTGGGGACCACCAGGCTCAGGCAAGACTGCCCTAGGGTGAGTTGCCATTATGCTGTCCTGCAGACGACGCCATGTAGTCATGACTGACCCATCAGCAAAGTATTCAACTGGTCGCCAATGCGCTATGCGAGAGGCATGGCGCTGTGTGGGTAGGTCGGTTCATCTAATACTACCATGCACGGGAAGACGACGACGAGACTGACACACATATCAAAGATTGTGCGTATTCAGTTTGCGGCCATCGACTGAACGCGGTGATCGAGGCAGTGGAATCAACTCGGCCATCCAAAGACCCCGAAGCGGTGAAATCGGCCACGAATCACTTTGCACACTATAGCTGCCCCAGCCTGCCTCACCTGATAGCACTTCTCTGCCGTCCTACGGCGGCGACAGTGCCAGCGAATTCGGCTGTGGTTGTGATAGACTCCTTATCAGCTTTGGTGAATCACGTTTTTCCTAAAGCGCCCGACGGTAGAAAAGATCAGTCGCGCGGTAAAGGTCAGTTGTCCTGGACCAGATCGAAGTTGTCTACTCATATTATGCAGGTCCAGGTCTATCAGCGAAGCGGCTGCAAGCTTTGCAGTATATTACCAGTGCCCTACAGAAACTAGCAGCAACACGCGACTGCGCAGTGGTGGTCCTGTCACAATGTGCAACCAAGATGCAGTTGGAACGGAGCGCGACATTGATTCCATCCATTAATGCTGGGGTATGGGAACAGGGCATGTCGACGCGCGTAGTGCTGTTCAGAGACTGGGTATGGAAGGAAGAGCGACCGTGGTCTGTATGCTTCGCCGGTGTGCAGAAGCTAGACGGCAAGGCTGGGCCGGACATGATGCAGAGCGCAGCGGCGTTTAGAGTTGAGGCGGTCAGTATTTTCGTTGGGCAGTCACGATTCCGGCATAATTTCGCAAAAGCGGAGTTTCCAAGGCATGAGGTTATGTGGTTTGCTGACATGGCTCGTTATCGTGACAGACGGGCTTGGTTGGCGTGCAGTACGACACTAGCCAACCATCGGTGTTCCTTCCAACGGCTCCACGAGCGAAACGCAAGCTGGCAGAGGCTGGCCTCGAGGTGCCCGACAGCGAGGAAGATGACGAAGAATACGGATGGGCACGAGAAGACGAGTCGGCGCTTCCCGGCCCGCCGCCGCAGTGGCAAGGCAGCGAAGACATCCTTCTGGGGACCCAGGCGGCCGAAAGCGAGGATGACCGGGGTAGCAACGGAGACGGCCACGGCGATGGCGGCGACGGTGATGACGAAGACGACGAGGCAGAATATGTGGGTGAGGCAGCGACTAGCGGCCGAGATGACCAGGTTTTGGCCGAGCAGTAAAGAGGGATGGCGGAGAAGGGACCATGGTGGAAAATTTCCGGGTGAAGGACCGGAGCTTGGCCGACAGATAGGACGAGCATGAATCGATAATACGGTACGGAATGTGGTCCCTTGACGGCCTTCCCCTTGGCGGCCCTGGCAAAATCTCAGCCTAGGCTGCCCAGCCTCAGACTTTGACGAATTTGGAGACTGGTCATGAAAAAAAATGAACCCAACCAGGAGCCAATTCCGAGACTTACGGAGTGTGTCATGTTACGAATACTCAAGCTTCACAGTTGAGGGTGAGGCGAGAGAAAAAAGACAGAGGAAGGAAAAACTAGTGCAACTCCACCAAATATGACGGACGACCCGCCACAGGTAGAGATTCAGCGGTTAAGGACCGATAAGAAGCAATGGTCGGTCAAGAGCCGGGTCCACCGAGAGCATGAAAAGTCCATCGTCACCATCGGCCAAATGTCGGCTTGACGCGGACCGCTTGGAAGCACCAGCTCAGAGACACTTCCAGGGCTCAGGGGCAGAGATGGGGATAATAGGCCGTGGCTCGTCCGGGGCCCCGACCCCGACCTGGGCATCGTGGGGCCCACATGTTTGGTTGAGCCGCAGTGGCTGCGGTGCGGTAGCGCTCTTTGGGAAGTCGCAAGGAGACCCAGAGTGAGTTTGGGAGTGCGGAATGAGATGGAGCTGGCCGGCTAGGGAGTAGTGTGTGAGATCTAAGTGAGCGGGTGAGTGAGTTTAGTGAGTGAGCGAAGATGAGTGTGTGTTGTCATGGTGCTCCGGGCAAGTCCGGATGCAGCTGGCTCATCAAGGGGGAAGAGGAAAAAAAAAAAAAAAAAAAAAAAAAAAAAAAAGAGGACCATGATGGCTGAGGTGAGAAGGTGAGGTGGAGGGAGCCATTGGCTTACTCATCGGGGAGCGCGACTTTCCACTCTGAGATTCAGGATACTTATTATTGCTGGGGAGGAGTGACGGGTTTTCGTGGGGGAATCTTTTTCTCCCGCCCCTTGAGAGCCCCGTTTCTTCTCGAAGGAAAAAATGGCGTCAGATCGAGGGACCCCACACGCTCTGCAGCGCCGGGCTCTGCAGTCCGCGGACACACTGCTCTCTCGAAGCTCGTCGAGGTAATTTTGTACCCTGTGCACATTGGTCACAGAGGAGGGTGCCAAGGTGTGCGCGCTATTTGCTTGCGCTGGCTAAGCACTTCTGCAGGGCTCAGCTACGCGCCAAGCGCTGCCAGGTTCCTATGAGCGCTGGCCTTCAGGGGGAGGTTACGGTGCCTATCCGCCGTATCATTGATATTCAGGGTCAATAGAGATGCACACAGGCTGGAGAGCTGGATTTCTACGGGTCTCCTATCGGCCCTTGGACTCGGTGCTATTGGAAAGGTAAAGTATTTGCAGCAGAACTGTCACACAGGGTAGATTCCACATCGCTCGCTCTCGTCCCTTGCGTGGGTGTGCAGTATTGACGAGATGCCTACACAAGTATTTCTGGAGAAGAAGTGACTTTTGAGATTTTGTGGTAAACTCGAGTAAGGTGTTTTCCCCCGGTCGCATTCCACTCTCGCGACCATCTCGCGCTCCGTCAGAGCCTCTGGAGTAAAGTGTCCAGTAGGTAGGTATCTGAGGCGCCCCAGATCTTCCGAGCACGTTTTGCTACGTCCACGCCCCCTTTCCTGGTCCCTCCCGTCCACGGCATAAGGTACCTACCCTGCTTCCTGGTCCCTACAATGAACAAGTCACAGCCCTGCGACGGGTGATCCCCTGTCTCTCCTACTTCTTTTTTTTTTTCCCTCTCGCGCTGGCAGGTGAAAATTCCCTCTATGGAGACTGGAGTTCTGGAGTCTGAGGTACCTCATTTTCAACCCTCTGGTCTGTTTTTCAGCCTCTTGATTTTTTTAATGCCGCTGCGGATCCGCACCTAGTGTACCTTGCTTATCGACTCCAGACCGAAGTAGCCTCCTTCTCCACCCAATTAGGGTGACATAAGCCAGTGGATCTCTTCCCCGTCTGGAACCACTGGCATCGAGCATTGGGCATTGGCATTGGTAGGTATTAGACCTGGCTTTTGTGAAGTTATTCCCACATGGCCCGGGCTGCAACTCACGTATATTGTACGTACATCTTTCATTTATTATTCTCCGGCAGGCGCAGCAGGGTTCACCTTCACCATCGAGCCCGCACCGAGAATCTGCAATGGTTTGTTAGGTGTTATTCAACCCTGCAACGTACGGACCGAGTGAGATTTCTTTTGTACTTGTCTCTGGGTAATGATGCCATTTCTAACCTTGGCTCTCACGCAATTATTGGCATCAATTCGCTCTACAAGCCAAACGCGGTAATCCACAGCAAGTAAGCGGTCGAGCAATTAGATAATTCTGGAGGGTAGGTACAAGTTGCGTAAAGACCTGTCGCAATTGTGTATTGCACTTATGGCATCCATGGCATCGCTCCAATGCAAGGTGGCATACATACATACCATGGGTCCTCTGCGGTTGCATCACTGCTGGATTCAGTTACAAACTTGAACCGAAGCAAAAACCTGGCGTCAATGGGACGTTGAAGTTTGAACAGACGTCCAAATTGCACCTCGCGAGCCGCAAGTAATTCCCGCGTTCCCCGCCCTTTTGCCCCAGCCAGTCTTCCCTTCTCCGCTTGTTTTCTTTGCTCGTACGAATACAACATTGGAGTCCTAAGGCCATATTGTATCTTACGATCTTGCCGAAAATCGAGACATCCAACGCCAGGTAGCCCATCCAGATCCTAGGCCAACACCCACAGCCCCCAAATGCAGCGAGGTTCCAGCTTCAAGGTAGAATAGTAGGTGCGCCTATTCGTACAGAGGAGCAAATCCCAACCAAACTACTGCACAATGCCGTCCTTCCCCTTCCGCCGCCGCCGCCGCAGCACCCCCCCTTCCCCGGTCGGCTGAGCTAGGCCGAGGTCCTATCGGCTGACGCCGGAGAGAAGGAAACAGGAGAAATCTCAAGTTGCGGCCCGCCTGAAACTATGTTTCTACCCATCATCAGCCGATGTTTCCTTATCTGTGTGTGATGTATGATGTATCTTCTAACCGCACCAGACAGCGGAACCGCTCTGTAGTATGTCACAAACAAGGCAAGCGGCGGCATTATCTAAGGGGGAAAAAGAGGGAGGCCTAGATTGGGTGATCTGGTCTGGGGGAGCAGATCGACCGTGCCACTGGTGTCCTTTCCCCTCCATTTTTCTTTCTCCGCATCGAGGAAGTCACATATTTGATATGACATCGTCGATGGCAACCACCACCATCATGACCTCCATCGTAACCACCATCTACAACCGATCACGGCCAAAATTCACGTAGTGTCCTTTTGTCTCTGCAGCCATAGGCTCACATCGTCACAAGTAATGATTAAATCAAGATTCAATTACAGACCTTCTGCTCCGGCGGAGGAAATAGGTGGCACAGCACTCTTGCGTGTACAAAAAGCAACGGGAAGCAGGTACTTACGCCTCTTCAAACAAGCAGAACACGTATCTCAGCCTCTGAGCCTCCAAAACTTGCAGACATAACTGGGCGAGCGACCTTCAGCGGGAGAAGCTACTGCACAGATCGCCCATTCGCCGCGGGTCGCATACACCGATGCAACCGCGGGGGCGGATGGTGGCTAAGGCCTCTCTCTTTCTCTCTCTGCATAGCTATTCGTGCCTATCAGAGCCTGCGGACGGGGACGGGTTTGTATGCGCGGTCCCAGATTTTCGTGGTCCTGCAGAAACGGCCTCTTTACCAGCCCACTTGTAGACCTGACTCCATACGAATATAGCGCGCAGCAAGCAATCAGGACTCGAGGAGCGGAGGGTGACATCAGGGACTTGAGACGATTCCTGCTGCAAGACTGTAGGCGCCTCCCGCTCCTTGGTCAGCCCACAACGCCGCTTAATCGTGCGGACGTCGTCTAACACTGGCTCCATGTTTCCCGGCTTTCCGCCGCGGCGGCGGCGGCGAAGACGAACAACTACCACCGACCACAGCCCAAGATAGTAGCCCCCAAAGAGCGAGAGCCGCGAGTTTCAGACTCGAGGGACAACCTAATGACATAGCAAAGGCAAGACTAAGCACCAAGTTCGACTGTAGTAACCCCGGGTTCTGATCTTCATTGGCGGGAGCCGCAATGTGACAACGCACGCAACTCTGCTACAGAACCTCGTTCTAGACCCTCCCATGTTGCTATGCATCGATGGGCAGCATTACTTGACTAGACTTAACCTATAAGGTCGGCTCGTTCCTGTCTTTCCATCACACGATTTAGGCTGTTCAGGTACCGATATACGCGTTGCGCCTCTGCTTGATGCCCGCGAAGTCTTTGACAACATTGCCTTCTCGTTCGTTGTTGTCTCCGCAGTTGTCTCTCCGCAGTTTGGCTCTGTGGCACCCCCGCCTGGAGTCGTTCGATGGCCCCAGTGCCACCCACCTCCCCCACACCGCCGCTCCCGCTGGCCCGCGTTGCCGCGACCACTGCCGAGATCTTCATGTGCGGGTTATTTTTCTAGATTGGGTGCATGTTTGTTATTTTACACATACTCTGAGCACTCAGCAGTGGTTTGATCTAAGAGAAAGGTAGAGTTCAAGGACTACCTAGACCTATGAGAGTATGTGGTGTAAGTATATGATGAATATAGCACACGCACGACAAGAAAGAGAAAACAGAAACAGAAACTCGTATTTAGGATAAATGGACAGACTTGCTTGCGTAACAGTAGGATGAGTAGAGTTGCAAACCTTGCAGCGGATGACTTGCAGCGATCATGCACACATCCCGCTTCCCCCGCCCGCCCGTCAACACACCCTCAAGTTACTTTCTCCCCTCTACTCCCAAGAGCCCCTTCCTCCTATCGCCGCCGGAGCAGCTCGCTAAGTGCTCGGCGAGACGGAGAGAGAGGGAGAGAGACGTCTTTTCTTGCCGAAACTGGATTCCAATGCTGCTTACGTTTGCTCATTTGCACATCTTGGCTGCTTGTGGCTTG